AAGCTTTTGTAAAAAAGACTGATAAGTTATCGGGTACCTATTGCAAATAGTTGTGATAACCCGGAGGGGGTCCCGGAAATGGCCCCGGGGGGTGGTCATGCCTGTCACCACCTGTCACATATGGCTTATATTTACTGTTTTGGGTAATAAATAATCATCCAGATATTAAATAAGCAGTACATTTTCAAAAAAACTCGAAAATTCATAAAAATTCATAAAAAACCTAAAATGGCCTGATTAGGTCAGATCAGGATATGTAAGCAAATGACGTCATATGATAAAAAATGATGTAGGGCCAATGTAGGTACTAAAAATAGCCCAAAAAATCACTAAAAATGCAAAAAATATTTAGGGATGGTATAGAGCCTATTGCAGGCCCAGGCACATCAAAATTACCAAAAAAGGAAAAAATTGATCATGATCTCATCTAGTAGCAAAAAATCTGAAAAAAATCCTAAAAATAGTCAAAAAATTCAGGGGTGCCTTGTTGGCCCTGAAAACGCAAAATAAAAAAAAATACGCGACAAGTGTAAAAATTTTCATCACTCCAAATCATTCCAAATCCACTATACAGTCAGTATATATGATGTATATGCTATATTTAGCATCCTAGTACCTTTATTGGGCTAAAAATAGAACTTGATCTCATCTGATAGCAAAAAATCTGAAAAAATCATTAAAAATACTCAAAAAATTCAGGGGTGCCTCATTGGCCCTGAAAATGCAAAATAAAAAAATTTACATGACACAATTGAAAAACAACATCACTCCAAATCATACCAAATCCACTACACAGTCAGTATATATCATGTATATGCCATTTATAGCACCCCTAGTACCCTCAATCACTTATATCACTCAAGAATCATACCAAACTGAATAATATGGGGAGTAAATATATTGTACATGATATTTTTAGCACACCTAGTACCCTTGATAACTTAGAACAATTTATATTACTCAATATGTCCAGTACACTTAGCACTTATCACACCTAACACACTAAAACTCATAACAGTACTTATATGTATTAGACTTAACACAGTTGACAATGAAAATACTGTAAACAGTGTTATCAGTCATTATACTTAACACACTTAACAGTCAAAAAGTCGGAACAGTTGTTATACTATAACACACTCATAACAACAAGTTTTGGGCGCTTATGGGCGCTTATTTGGTGTTTTTGAGTCGAAATTCATTAATAGCACACTCAATAATTTTTGTGTGGGCTCTATACGCAGCACTGAATTTTTTGACTATTTTTAGGATTTTTTTCAGATTTTTTGCTACAAGATGACATCATGATCAATTTTTTTTCCTTTTTTTGGTAATTTTGATGTGCCTGGGCCTGCAATAGGCTCTATACCATCCCTAAATATTTTTTGCATTTTTAGTGATTTTTTGGGCTATTTTTAGTACCTACATTGGCCCTACATCATTTTTTATCATATGACGTCATTTGCTTACATATCCTGATCTGACCTAATCAGGCCATTTTAGGTTTTTTATGAATTTTTATGAATTTTCGAGTTTTTTTGAAAATGTACTGCTTATTTAATATCTGGATGATTATTTATTACCCAAAACAGTAAATATAAGCCATATGTGACAGGTGGTGACAGGCATGACCACCCCCGGGGCCATTTCCGGGACCCCCTCCGGGTTATCACAACTATTTGCAATAGGTACCCGATAACTTATCGGTACTTTTTACAAAAGTTTTACAGTATCAGCTGGTTGCAGCAAATTGGCGAAAAGCGGCGGTTGAGAATGGAGGATGTTGGAAAAGAGGCAAAGCTGGATGCTGAGAAAAGAGGACTGCACAATCTTGTAAGATGACGCAGCGCATGTGAATCAACATGAGGAGAAATTGCTTGAGAGTGAGATCGTTCGATTTCTGACCGAGTTCTTGCATTTGGCTTTTGAGCGCTTGAAGTTCCGACTCGGCGAAAGGAAAGATCGTTTGCGTTAATTCTGCGGGAGGTTCTGGCAACATGAACAGAACACAGTCAGAAACATTTGGTACATGTTAAATAACATGAGTCACTCACCAAGTGCATTACGTGCAAGAAAATAAGTTTCTGGTTTGCGTGCATTGAAACCAGCAGTAGCAAGCAAGCCTTCAATTGGTAGGGCACAGTCATAAACTGCACGGTAAGAACCGTGATCACTCCAGCCTCCGATTGCCTTCATGGCTGTATCAGATGTGCTGTGTTCACGGCCTCTCTGAACAGAGAAGAGACGGCCAGCATGGGTCACCTTTGAAACGTCAATGTCATTACAAAGATGGATATCTTTGATGATCTTGTAATGTGCTAATAACAATATATCAGTTGGATAGTATAGTACACGATTGAGTGAGGCCTTACATCGATACTCCATCTCACTAGTATCATCATTTGAGGTCGGGAAAAGTAGCAATTTATACCAGGACCGTTCCCCGTATTCTCCATAGTCTTGATTTTCGAATGATGGTGAGAAATCTGGCAGTGAAAATAGCTGAACAGTATGAGGGCAACAGCGCCAAAAGCGCATAGTTCTACCTCACTATGTCGGATAACACCGTGCTCGTCGACACATCCATTTTGGTTATGCTTTGCTTGATCAACAAGACAGATTAACACCTGTAAACGACTTAGTTGATACTCAAGAATCATGTAGTACAAAACCTGTACCTCGAGAGAGCGCCCAGGACCTATATCATTGAAGGGTATCTGCCGAATGAAGAAATCCGACCACAGCGCGGGCCGAACGTTGTCACCGCGAAATGCATTTGAAGTTGGAAGCACAAACATCGCGCGATTTCGAATACCTCAATGGATGCTGGCAGCAGTTCTATGGTTCAGCATGCAAGATAGGGCACCCCTTTTGACTTCTTCGGCCGTATATGTATCTAGCACAGGCAGTATGATTAGTATATTCTGGCTGATATGTAGTAAAGAACGTTAATCATACCTGCTGAAGTGCCCATTGCCTTCAACTTCTGAGCCATTGCTATACGCTGAGGTTGTGTTGCGCATGCATTATCTTCGTAAATCTTGATACGCTCTTGATCTCGGAGACGTTCCTTTGCAAGCGGGTCGTTCTGATACTCGGGAAGATGCTGGTGCTTTTTCCGATGATTTTTGAGGGCACTGATACATTGTTTGATGCTTTCATGTCTGACTGTTGAATTTCCAGAGACGTCCTGACCTCGATGGTCTCTCTGTCAGGTGGAGAAGTTTTATGAGAACAAATGGATATGCATATATTATGTGCATACATACCTTAGGTCGCGTTGACTCGTACTGAAGGAATAAAGATGCCTTCGACCAATTCAGTGGTTCTGCTGGAATAAGCTGCCACATAGGATCTGCCCGTTTACGTTGCTCTTGATCCTGGGCCCACCAATCATAATAGCGCTTGATATGATGATCATAGTTGTTAGCAGTTTGAGTACGTGACTGCATCGTTTCTTGGATTTCGAGGCGGTTTCCATGAGCCTCCATGATGAGGACTTGAGCACCATGGTGATTGTGTGAAGACTGTGAAGAGGATTCGGGATGTGATTGACTCGATGATGGCGATGAAGGTTCGGGTTGAGGGTGCGAAAACACAGGTGCTGAACCAAGAACTGAGGTTGATGGAAGTACTTCTAAAGGATCGAAGAGCTGGTTGTTATCGAAGCTCATCAGGAGGGACTTTGGTTGTAAGAGCAAGGGGTCAGAATGTGTAGGCCAAGGCTTAGAGTTGGTGGCAGATTTTTGTTTGATTTTAGTCTTAAGACCAGGTGGCGAGGAGATAATAGAGAAGCGTCTTTGAGAGGGAGTTGCCATTGCAGCTAGATATGGTCATACAGTGAGTGGCGGGGCCAACAAAAAAGCAACAAGAAACATACCGGCGCGAGTCAATTGTTTTCTCTTGTGGCCGTTGTGGCCGTTGCGATTCACAGTCCAAGCGAGCTCAGCAGACTCAGTTCCTCACACAGATTCGAGTAGATGGGTAAACAAGTCAGATTATAATGCGTTGGAGGTTACTAGAGAACGAGAGGTGATATCGATCGAAAGGTAGTCTCCCCACTGAGCGTGATGATAGATAACAGCGAAGGAGGATGGGCGCTAAACGTGAACAATCACCGCGCATGGTCCACTGCCACAATCACAATGGTCAATAGCGACCTCGAAGCCGGGACTCTGGAACAATGGCCATACCAGGTATAAACCTGGTTATGTGCCCATCCCTCAAGTGCACGTACCCTGGGGCATAACCACGGCAAGCCGGTGGTACTAGATACACTCTATGTAATAATTTTTGAAGGAGAAATAGTGCTGGGCTGGGGCATCTACAGTGGGAGGTGTATCTTGATCTTTTTATGAATCATAATGAGTGCTAGCGCTGGCTGATCAGCAGTACTTGAAGAGTAATCAAAGCCAAATTTCTTCTGCTTTTGGGAAGTTTTGATGATTTGATGATTCTGAGTGTTTTTTGGGATTTTTGTTATTTTTCTAATTTCTTGCTTTTTGTTTTGCAGCATGTGACTGTCACTCTTGTCTGAATAAGCATCTTGAGGGTCCTCTTGATGAGTCTTGATGGTGGTTAAAGTGGTAGGAAGAAAAAGTTGCAGGAGCCTATTGGAAAGACTGGGGTTTTAAATATCCTTGAGCAATGAGCACAGAATTTTCTAGACCATTCTGAGCTCAAGGATGCATCTGACATCATCGGTAGAATTTTTGAATTTGAGCGCTTGAGGGCGCCTAATCTGACCAATCAGATTGTCTTTTTATGTTTGACGTTTGTTCAGCCAATCGGATTGTCCGAGTGTAAACAGGGACAAACAGTTCCCCTTTGTATTGTTGATTCAAGTCATGAATGCATGACACCCAATCTTCAATCCCGTCAAATGGATTTCTGCCTAAGCCTTCAAAGCTTCAGCTTCAACCAACAACGAACGAGACGAAATCATATTGAAATGGCGATTCCCGAGGCTAAGCAACAAAAGCTTCAGCTCCAAACCAAAATGATTCGACCCGGGCTCGAACCGGGGACCTTCTGTGCTACTCACAATGTTAGACAGATGCGATAACCAACTACGCCATCGAACCTGACGTATCTGCGAAAAACTTACATCCTGAGCCTGAATCATCATGTCTTTCATGAAGCAGCTATTTTGTACTCATAGCAAGCCCATATATATAGATCATATTCCCTCTCAGCTCATTCATTGACGGTTCTACAGATTATAGATGTACCAAGCACTGTGGTTACCCAGCCCAGGTTCCTCATCTTCCCGCTTCATCACCCTCCTCCTCTCAGCCTTCTCCGCATTTTGCACCCTCAGATAGAATATATTCAACGCACAAAACAACGCCGCGAGAAGACTGAACGCCAAGAGCGTTATCGTGGCTTTCGTATACCTAGGCGCAGGGCTTAACGTTCCGAGAAGCCAAGTAGCGAGGATTCCTCCAGAGTTGGCTAGGATGAAGCCCATCGCGATGACCGTTGCACGTCTGGTTTGAGGGGAGGCATTGTTGGCGTTCCAGGTTGCCTGGGTGGGCGCTGCCATGTATGCGCCAGTGACGGAGAAGAAGAGAGAGCCGTATTGGACATGTTTTGATTGAGAGCCTTGATAATGAACATGGAATCAGAACTTGGACGGGTGATGCCAAAAGCTAACATACCCAGGAACATGGCGAAGCCGATGGCACAGAAGAGGACGGAGACGATACAGACGATTCCTCGACATCGATACCGATCAGAGATTAGAGATGATATCAGAGCGACGACGCAAGCAACAGCGTAAGGTGGTACGCTCATTAATTGTGCGTCTGCTGCAGTGTATCCAAGGCCTTGTATGATCGACGGTGAAAAACTAATCAAAACGTTCAGATAATCAGCCTGGTCACATCATGGAAATCTATCAAGACCACGTACTAGGCCAAGCCGAACAGGATCGTCGCCGCGAAGAAGAAGGCAAGTCCCAGAAGCCAGAGTTGAGGAAGTTTGAAGGCCTCGATGACTTCTCTCCAACTGAACACTTCTTCATCCTTATGAGTATCGTTCAGCAGTTGCGCTTTCACGTATTCCTTTTCCTCGGACGTCAAGAACCAAGTCTTATCGAGAGATCGGGGAAAGAAGAAATAAGAAGAAAGGCCGAAGAGGAACGTGAAGAGGCCTTCGAGGATGAAGATCCACGACCATCCAGGTCGATTGCCGACTCCGTCCATTTGGATGATTCCATATGCTAATATTCCTGAAAATGCTCCGGAAAGCGAGGCGGATGAGAAGAATAGGGTTATCCTAGTACGTGATCGGTTTAGATATATCGCAGGTTTTGGATAGAGGAAGAGGCTTACCGTGTATTCATCTTGTATCGGGGATAGAAATATGACAGATAAAGCACAAGGCCTGGGAATACACCTCCCTCGAGAAGACCTATGAAGAATCGACATGCAAGTAATCCAGAATACGAGTTGACGATTCCTTGTAATGCACAGACGATGCCCCACAGAGTCAACATCGTAGGAAGCACCAGATTGGGTCCAAGAGCCTGCGCAAGACATTCACAAGGTTGGCCTCCGATACGTTTCAACAACCAGATGAATGAACGTACTTTGAGCATGAGATTTGAAGGTAGTTCGGATAAGATATAGGGAACATAAGTGACCGTCAAAGCGATACTGTATTGTTTATTGGACATTCCAAGATCGGTTTGTAGCCCTGCCACACGAGCATTTCCGACATTCGTTCGATCCTGATGAAAGAAGTGGTAGTCGAGTTAGATATATTGAACTTCACTGTAGAGAAGACTCGGTATGCGTACCAGGAAGGATAGAAGATAAAACATCGTCATGACCGGCAATATGCGATAATCGAGTTTTCGCCAAACTCTCCCATCTATCACAGGATCCTCCAGGCCAACGGAGCTTTCGAGAGACCTCGCGTCCTTCTCATGGACCTTGTCCAAGCCTTCATTCGTGGCTGCAGATTCTGGCTGTAACGGTGACATGTTCGAGTGCTAGAGTCCTGATTAGCCTGGCCAATGGGAAGAAGACTTCGTTCTTGATCAAGATCTTGATGATACAAGGTTCAAAAAAGACTCAAAGTCGTGGCGCGTATATCCTTTTTTGAACAGAGGCAGGAATGTACGTTCGAGGGTAAAGAGGGGTGAAAGGGCAACAAGTAGAGCTGTTTTCCTCGACTTTTTAAAGGAACATCAGGCAAAATCGGACGTTCATACCTGCAAGACGACTGTCAGCCCGCGATTGATATCCTTCCTGTTTTGTCATTCATATATCCGAAAGCCCTGAGTCTCCGCAGCGGAGCGCCGAATCTGGAAATCCTCATTGGTGTCCACTGTTAATCCTGGACTTATAAGCTAGAAAAGTCCCTGTGAGAGAGAATACTTACTTAAGAAGATCGAAACACTTCAATTTCTACTGAGGCAAAGAAAAACACCAACGTTTATTGTTCACCCGTTGTTCACTGTGATGATGGTATGTAGATGGTGTTAATCATCTTTTCATGCTCTCCGCTCATGATTTAATCGGAGTTAACTAGTAAGTATGTGAGACTCGGCAACCGCACCCTGGACATACTGGGCTGCATCAGCCTAGATCAGCCTGCACCTGGCATTGCACCGCGTTTGTCCTTGGTTGTCCTCTCTTATCTTCAAAGTTCTTGGCGTTCCACTATGACTGAAATCCAGAATCTGAGGCCCAATAAGCTCAAGCCTCACGACATCTGGAGGATTATACAACTTGTACATGAGTATGTACTACTTCGTCTAAGAAATGGGATCCTCAATCGTTTCGACAACCTGCATGCAAGACAAAGTCGCGTGTCAGCATCAGGATGATCCCGAAATCTCGCAGCAGACCTTCGTCACAGTAATTCCCAGTTCCACATCTTGGTGCTCATGAAGGCTATAAGGTGTCTTCCCTCCAGATCGGGACTGGGTTGAGTCGAAGGTCTGAGTGTTGTCTAATTCATAGACGTGCGGGGCTGTCATGATCTGAGAGCAAGAATCAGAAGATGCTTCGATTCTTGTGCAGAAGAGATGCTTAGTACTCACACTACGTGGATGTTCTACATATCTGTCAATCTACAGAATGAGAAAACAACAGTAAGTATAGCAGCACTAGTATCCAGACCACGATACAGATTCCATGAAAGAGAGAACAACAAGAGTCTTACCGGTCGCAACCTCGATATCCTTAGTGATCCTCTAGGCATAGACGGCTCCCGTGCATTTCTTTGCGCCCCAGACGATGAGTTTTGACTGTGTCTCAGAAGACTTGCTCGGGCGTTCAGGGTAGACATGAGACAGTTGGTGTAAAGTTTAGCTAGGGTGAGATCCCAAAGAAAGTTCCTGCTCGAGAAGCGGCGTTTAAAATGCACATATGGAAACAGGAGTAGCGCTCACAAGCCGGTGTGCTAATATGAGATACCAGTGGGATGATCGAATAAGTGCATTGAATGATCCAGGTAGAACAGGGTAGAGTAGAGTGTATGTATACGTACTGGTAACGCCATGAAAAACGCGACATCGCCAATTGCACAAATAGAGCTGTCGGTTCACGAAAATCAGTACGGTGTACATCATTACAGCAGAATTTTTGTTCACGTTATCATCCCCGTCTGAACCGTCACTGACGAGGTGGGTTGAGCAATGAGGATAGCCAAGAACGTCAAAACTAGAGTTCGCAGTGACCTACTCTTGATAATCTTATCAACAACGGAGTCCGTAATCGCAAATCCCGTTTTACGCTGGGCCTATTAAGCCAATAAGCACCAAAGCAGTAACAGCCGTCAGCGTCCATCGATATCCAGCACGAACGAAAGACACAGACCAGATTCCACACCAACGTCCCTGTGATAACCAAGTCCGCGATACACGCTGTGAGAAACCACAACAGCGCAGACCAGTGCAGTTCTGGCTTGTCAGCGAAAAGCTTCAGTCTCGCGATTTTGATTCCGGTTATGAATCCCCCGACTATGACATATGAAGAGTATGAGGTTACTTTCAATGATCAGTTCGAGCATTTTGGCGAGCGGCTCACCCGAGGAGGCCAATGCCAGTGCTATCACGAGTCCAGGTATCCAATATGTTCCTGTGATCTTCCGAATCCTCCAGGCAAAAAACGTTTGGATCGGGGTAGATATCAAGACCTGAATTACACCATACAAACAGAATTCGTTTACGGATGAACACGTTGAAGATATATTATTCGACTCACTATTAGTATCGGTTCTGCGTTTGATTGGACATGAGTCGTTTTGTTTCTGAGGAACATGCATTTGCTAGCTTGATTCAGACTCACCTAGCATAAACACTAGCAATAATAGTGAATCCGACATGTACAGAATATCTCGGTCATCAAGAATTCAGGATGCATGTATGTCCAGTACGCACGTGTGGGGAAGTACATGACTGCTTTTTGGGTCCCTGTGAAAACGATGAATACGTTTTGTCAGTGTTTCATGGTACGAGTCTACACACCGTACTCCGTAATCAAAGGCTGATACATCATGGCCATGTCGATAGCCGTATTTGCAGTTTCTAGCATGAGTAGATAGGCGACCTGTAGTATGTGACCGAGGTCTTGAGACCGGTGTCGATCGGTATGTCGGAGAGAACTCACGAAGACGCGAACCCAGATCGAGTCTCTAATGTGATTCATGACCAATGTCAACAGAAGAAATGAGAGGAGCTCACTCACAGCGGGTACGTTTTGTAATAGAAGAGCATCTGGGTAGAATGCAAGGGAGGTGTCAGAGCGCAGGAGTTCTGTGCACAAAACGACGATTGTATCTATTACCTGGTTGAGTAGAACCTATAGTCCGCATCAGAAAGCAGAACGTCGACGTATTCGTTCATGTGTACTCACTCCATACAGAATCATATTGAGGAACACCCCAATGAGCATTGGTCCATATCTAGTGAGTCAAAGACGTTTGTTCATCTCACAATCAAGTCGCAAGAGGCGCGGACGTACTGAAGTTCGATATGAAATTCCGAGTTCGCCATGTCCAGCGACCACAAAAGTTACAGTTGCTCGCCTTTCTTCCTAAGAATGCCAAAGTGAAAGGTGAAGATATGTTT